AGCAAATGGTCATGCAATGTGAACAGCCAGTAAATCAGTCCCTTAGTGTTCCATTCATTTTCCTGCGCTTTCAGACAGCTGGGGGGGGGGGGGGGGGTGGGCCGGGGGGGGGGGAGATAGTCCGCAGGGGTGGAGTTTACTGTTTTATGTAGTCCCACCCCCACAGAGTTCTGTTTCTTACTTATCCTGATATTAATGCAACATAACCTCTTCTTTCATAAGAATAAAAGTGTTGCTTTATTGCTATTTATCTAGTGTTAAAGGATTAAATAATTATTATTTGTTAATAATCCAAATCATAACATCATTATATTATATATTTGTCCACAAAAACTGGAAATGTCTTCCAGTTTATCGGAAGTCAGTGTGCAAGCAAGAAACCCCCATTGATTTATTAGGTGTTATGTCCTATAGTACCTCTTGTACTATAGATATTCCAACCTCTACCGTGAGACCAAGTCTATCGGGGCAGGGCTTGCTGGTACCTGTAGTCTCACCTTTGCAAAGCCTTTAAACATCTGCCTTAGTAACAGTTTCCTTTTTATAGACCTTTCCGTCTTGGAGTCAAGTTTTTATTTTATTCATCAAGTAGAAAATAATAAATTAACTTATCTTGATTAAAAAAAAACGAATTTATAAAAAAAGTATATCACACAATTATCCATTTCGATCAATCAATGTGCACAATGTACCATTCAGCCACACTGTATTGCTATATAATAACCTTATAGTGCAACAATGTAACCCTAAGCTGCTGGTTGGGTTGGACAGAAGCCACGCCTCCCAGGGGTCAAGCTTCCTGTTGCTTGTAATCCCACCCTTGAGGAGCTACGGCGTGATTAAACATTGCCTTTATAACTTTTTAATTTTACATCTATTTTGTAGCTTTTAATTGCCAAAAAAAAGAACTGCGAATGAAATATGAGTTTTCTATGTCACATTATTTTACAGCAAGGTTGACAAGTCAAACATTAGTCAGGTTCAATTAAAAAAACGACGCAGGAACCCTTTTTAAAAAGCAAACTAGTAAAGTAAAGTAAAATAAAACGTTAATGACCTTAGGGTTAGGGTTAACCTAACCCTAACCCATAAGAATCCAATGGGACAGAGAATCCAAGAATCCACAGAATCCACTTTGGATTAAAAAGGAGAACTCCTCCCCCCTTAATGAGGAATACCGTACACATTGTTGTCTTAACACAAAAGACATTTATATTTTCTTGCATTATATCCAAAAAAAGAAATCGAGGAATTTAAGTAAAGATTTGGACAAATTTATTTTTGACTGCAACAGTAATAATTGGTATTCTTCCACATAGTGCAAGGTACAGAAATATACCTGAAGGCAGAGTATTCTGGGGGTTTGGGTTCCTCAAGAGAACCAGTGGGCCTGTCACTGCCCCCTTCTGGACTTGATTGTCATTGTCACCCACTAAGTTCTAGTGACAGGTCTGAAGGGCCCCTGTCATCACCTTGTACTAAGCAGTGTCTGTCCATAGAGAGGGGTCAGTAGTAGAATGGCTCCTCCCCCCCTCAGTCCACCTT